GCCACTCACCAACTTCTGCACCAAGGACGAGATGCTAGAGAGGATTACCTACTTCATTTCACATTTGGAATCTGGTGATGTCCATCAAGTATGTGGAGACCGCGCTACATTGATTCAATCTCACCCTTTCGTTCTACAGGTGCAACGGGCCATTCAAGAGCTCACGGTACACCAATTATTCAAAGAGCTTCTCTGGGCGTCGCTTTTTCAGCCAATCAAGAGGTTAGCGTATCGATACCAACGATCACCTACTTTATTTCACTTTCACGTATGTACATTCAGCATTCCCAGTCTTGCACAAGGAGTCTTTCTGGGATGGTTACAAGGCGTGAGTCTCACCTGACAAATTTCTTTTGACTGCCACTGACATCCATGTCAGGTATAAAAATCCATCTGCAGCCGACGCGCCGTCGCCTGCATCAGATGGTCAGGGTTCGAAATTTCCGTCGCCCTTCCACCGTGCCCGCCGCCATATTTCACCGCTTTTACTCCTCAACATGTTTTCCATTGCCGAACGCTATGCACCATCTTCCTCTCTCCCGTCATCGCTGCTCCGAGAGCCAACCCCGATGTGGACTGCAGGCGATCAGTACTTTAACGTTGCCAAGACACTTCTTGACAACACCTATGCATCTTCCTTGCCAAGCACCGTCCAAGCTCTCCTATTACCCGGGTACCGAGAGATTGGGATTGGTGCCATGGCCAAGCCTGGGTGTACATGGGTATGGCAGTACGTATGGCGCAGGATATTAATCCTAGACACTGCGTTAGCCCTCAGTCGTGATGGAACAGACTGTATTATAATATACCTAGACACTGCGTTAGCCTAGCATAAGTGTCCGTTAGTGTCTAGGTATGGTTCGGATATGTGAAGAGCTCACCCTCAGTCGTGATGGAACAGACTGAGGGGAGAAGACGAAGCAAGAAGGTCTATATACGATGGTTCGTATTCCAGTCGTTCAACTCCGCTGCCGTAGGCTTATCGCGTCGGCACTAACACTCCTCCTCGACGCGATAAGCAACACTCCTCCTCGATTTCTCACTGTAGACCGAGGCATTCACGTAGACGTTCGAAGTCCTTTCGCGGGAGAGCTTTGGTGAAAATATCGGCTGCGTTATTGATAGATCGTACATAATGAAGTTTGATTTGTCCCTGAGTAACACGTTCACGGATGGAATGGATACTGATGTCGATATGTTTGACCTTGGAATGGTAGGATGCGTCTTCGGAAAGGGTGATACCGCCAGTGTTGTCGCAAAGGAGGGGAGTAGGGGATTGCTGTTTGAACTCAAGTTCGCGAAGCAAAGTACGGAGCCAGGCAACCTCCTTAGTGGCTTCGGATGTGGCAACGTATTCGGCCTCACAGGTTGACAAAGAGATAGTCTTTTGTTGACGAGCACTCCAGGTAACAACACCACTGCCCAGTGTGAAACAATATCCGCTGACAGATCGGCGGGTGTCGGGGCAGTTTGCGAAGTCGCTGTCAGTGAAGCCAAGAAGACGTGCGGGATGTTCTCCGCCAAGGATAAGTTTAAAGTCACGAGTGCCTTTAAGGTAATGAACCACTCGCTTAGCGGCTTCCCAGTGAATGGGCCCGTAACAGTCGAGATGGCAGCAAAGCTGTTGAACGGCATGTGCAATGTCGGGGCGGGTACCGATAGCAAGATACATGAGGATCTGACAAGCGAACGGTAGGGAGTGCGGGACATAAGTTCACGTTGAGTGTCATTAGAAGGTGTATGAGTGCGACGTGAGAGGTGTAGGCCAGTTTCCATTGGGGTTGATACCGGGACAGCGTCCTTCAAACCAAACTGAGTGATGATCCTGTCGATGAGGGCAGTTTGCGATAGTCCAATGGTGCGATTGGTTTGGTTACGTTCAAGGGCAATCCCGAGACAAAAGCGAGCTTCCCCAAGGTCAGACACAGTCCATTTCGTTCGTAGTTGATCCTTGAAGTCGGATATAACCCCCTTTGTGCTTCCAACAGTGAGAAAAATCGTCCACATGAACCGCGACGAGGAGAATCCCCGCAGTTGTCCGTCGGTAATAGATGCAATGTTCGCATTTTAGGCGCGTGAATCCCCAAGATATCATAGCGTCATTCATGGTTCGGTTCCAGACAAGTCCCCCCTGCTTCATGCCATATAACCCCTTCTGAAGTTCCCAGACCCAATCCTCCTTCCCTTCTTCTACGAAGCCCTCAGGTTGCTCCATATAGCAGACCTCATCAGATTCCAGTAGCCCATGCAGAAACGCGGTCTTGATATCGAGCTGGTCGATCTCCCAGTCTAAGGCGGCACCAAGGTGAGTAAGGATTCGAAAAGATTCGAGGCGTGCGGTTGGCGCCAAAGTTTTAGTATAGTCTTGGCCCCAGACGGCGGAGTAACCACGACAAACATATCTTGCCTTAAAACAGACGGGCTTACTGTGTTGATCGCGCTTGAGCTTAAAAACAGGGCGCCCACGCATAACTTTTCGGCCAGGAGGGATTGAGGATCGAGGGACCAACTTATAGACACCAAGGTCGCGCAGAGAATCAAACTCCTCCTTGAGGGCAGTCGTCCACTCAGACGCGTGGTCAGAAGCCATAGCTTCAGCGTAGGTGGTGGGATCGTCGGCTAGCTCGTGTTCTAGGTGATCAGGCATCGCTGCAAACAGGTTGGCGAGGTTAGCAAGCTCCTCCTTGGATAGTAGGGTAGCAAGTGCGTCTTCCCACATAGGGCTTACCATCCATCGCACAACGTCGCTCAGAAGGCTGATGGGTGCGTGCAGAACGCCGTGGTGGATCTGTAGCCGCGGGCGTTGGAGGAAGATCTGGGGGCGCATCAACATCTGGGACCTCCTTGATAGTGACCGGATGGGTATTAGTGGGAGAGACGGGCATTGAGGGAAGGGCTGAGCCACACTGGTGTGATTCTATGAAGGATACATGGTAAGAGACAAAGACTTTGTGAGTTTGGCGGTGATAACAGCGGTAAGCTTTGGAATCAAGGGAGTACCCAATCAGGATACACTCAATAGAGCGACTATAGACTTTAGGGTTGTGTTGATTTTGAATCAAAACAAACGTGCGACAACCAATCTCGCGCAGGTGCGAAAGATCAGGCTTATGGCCATACCAACGCTCGAAGGGAGTATGTCCAGCTTGCGAAGTGACGGGAGTTCGATTAGAGAGATAACACGCAGTGAGTACAAACTCATCTCAACGGTTGACAGGTACATCGCAGGCAGATCTCATTGCACGAGCCTTACCCATGAGCGTGCGGTGCAGGCGTTCAACACGACCATTTTGCGCGGACATGTGTGGGGCAGTGAACTGATGTTGCGTACCACGGGAGAGGAGCCACTCGCGCATGTTCACAGTCTTCAATTCGCCATTGTCGGAGCGGTAGATACCGACTTTTGAGCCAGATTCAAGCTCACAAGCGCGTTCCCAAGCTTGTAGAGCGGGAAAGGCATCTGACTTAGTTGCGAGTGGAATAGCCCATGCATAGGAAGAGAAATCGTCAATGAGGTCCATGATGTATTTATGGCCAGCGGCCGACACAGTATCAGGGTGCTCCATAAGGTCCACATGAACTATCCCCAGCTTCCTACTAGCCCTACTCCCTGTGCGAACCTTCGGGACACTTGTCCTCGTCTGCTTGCCAAGGATACAAGCGTCACACTTAGGTGGTACAACAGAGAGGTTGATGGGCATACCGGTAGCATTACCAGAGCGTGCTAGGTCGTAGATCGCACGATAGTTAGCGTGTCCAAGGCGACGATGCCAGGACAGGAGGGTAGGGAGTTGGTGAGCCATGTAGGCATGCTCTGCGGACAACTGCCCGCCAGAGAGGGCATAGAGGCGGCGCGAAGTTAAGGTACTGGAAAGCATACGAGTCCCACTCCGGGCTTGGACCCAGCAAGTAGAAGCGTCAAAAGATGCGACACAACGGTGCGCCGCGCAGAGAGCAGAGACTGATATGAGCCGGACAGTGGCCGCAGGGATGAAAAGGACGTTATCGAGAGTAATATGAATACCTCTAGCGACAACAAGATGCAAAGTACCAACACCGACAGCCTGGATCGAGGAGCCACCAACGCCATTGACAGAACGGGGGGGGAATAGGGCGAAGGCTAAAGAAGTCAGACTCATCGTTGCTGATATGGATGGAGGCGCCGCTGTCAAGGAAGAATGGGACGATGGATGGGTCCACAATGGTACGTTGGCGCTGGTTGGGGGCCTTGTAAGTGATTCCAGCGAAGTCAACAGTGCGCGTGCAAGTACGCCAGTCGAGGCTAGTATCAAGGGAGTCAACAGCAGCAATAAGAGTAGTGTACTCATCCTCCTCTGCAGCGGACAGCTCGCGGATAAACGCGGGGGGTGATGGAGTCACTGGCCAGGCCAGCAAATTCGGTTGAGGAGGCAGGCGGTTCAGCGGCCTCTGGGGCACTGGCGACATATATGGCTTGGTGAGTCTCACTGTCAAGGAGATATGCATGACCAGTAGTGTCATAACGAAGACCACCAGGTTTGCCAGTAGTCACTGCAGGCTTGGGAGTGGTAGGTTTTCCCCCAGAAGACCCCTTTGCCTCACGTGCGGCGCATTTACGTGCCAGCACCTCATCGTGTTTGCCTTCCATAGCTCCTCCCTTCCCGAAGCAGTCCTTCGTGGGGTGACTGGAGTTGCCGCAGGTGCCACAAGACACGCGATCACGACTGTGAGTAGTACCCCCTTTGCCGGTGGCAGCCATGGCAATATCACCACCTTTGGACTTCTCAGTGTCGATAAGCTGTTGTTCGACGTCAAGGCGCGAATGGATGTTCAATGGACCATAAGTGTTGGTGGAGGTGCTAGTAGCGAGAGCGTCTGCGATATGGTTACGCACATGGGGGAGATCCTCTGCCATGGCGTTGAGCATCATGATGGTAAGGAAGTCTTCCTCCTTTGGCATGCCAATTGCATAGATCCGTCGAACGAGTTCGCTGAGCTGAGTGCTCGTAGTAGAGAGACTCTCTGAACGACGGTATTTGACCGCCAAAGCCTGCTGGATGAGCAAGATCTGGGCAATGGGGCCGACTTTCTCATGGCGAGACTTGAGAGCGTCCCATGCGAGGTAAGCGTTAGTGTACCCACGGAGGAACTCGTTTTCCTCGGAACCTGAACGCGTGCGCAAGGCAGCAACTATGCACAAGTTATTGAGATCCCAATGGCCCGCGCTAACGGGATCCAAGGACGGATCGGGACGGGTGACTAGGCCTAGGATATATCCGCCTCCATGTTTCAAGAGGAGGTAGTTCTGCATGCGGTCAGACCAGGTGCTCCAGTTGTTCTTACTGCGGTCTAGGACTTCGATCTTGTCTAAGTCGGTTTGACTGAGCGATATGGCCGTAACGGTAGCCTGCAGAGAGGACATAGTGGTAGTGGCAGGAATCGGGTTGACTTTCGATGCGCTGAGTGGTGTACCTTTGGTACCGGAGCTCTTAGAGCGAGTATGGGTAGTGGGTGGCATGAGGACAAGAGGTAGGAATGGATAATTCTTAACTCGCGGGTATATATATATATGCGCGGGTGATTGTATTCGATGCTTCTCGCCCGAAGAGGAAGAGGTTTCAAACGCTTCGATGACGTCGATAGAGGTCAACGCTGTTCTCAATGACGTCGATAGAAGTCAGCGTTGATTAAGATAAGATAAGCCCGATGATTCGATAACCCGGCGGTGTCTTAATAACCGAGGGTCTTATATAAATACGTGTAAGAATGTAATGACACCACAATTACACTGGATAAGACTTCTTGCCAGTCCTCGATTAACACGGTCTACGACTTTTCTTCTTTTGTGGTA